CTCCTCTATCGCCAAACACAAAAAGATCTGTAAGGTTCTCCCACAGCAATCCAGGCCCACCAAAGTCAAGTCCCTCAGGAGAGCACTCTGTTGACACCCCTAAATATTCCTGCTCTGCGTACCACCGTAGAGCCCGATATCTATTGTCCAGTTCTATCTCCTGCTGGACCAGTCTGTCCAACTCAGCCACCCATTGCTCCTGGGGTTGCTCTCCCAGGAATGGCATCCGTGACTTCCAATTGTCCCTGGCCCGTTCCCCTGGGGTTGGGTAGCACTTGCCTTTGTCCATACCAGCAGCCTGGACCGCTCCTCTCCAAAGCACCTCCCAAATCCGCTGCCTGAGCTCCAGGTACTGATCCGTAGACACAGTCCTGGGGTATGTTGCAAGGACGATCTGCAGCAGCCCTGGGAACTCTGTTGCCAGGTCCATAGCTCCACTGGGGTGACTGACGTCTTTTCCTGCTCTTGAATCCCGGTGGTGGTTTGGATGTGTTTTTACAGCTGGAAGCACAATCCCACTGCTGCCACCAATGTAACGGAACCGGAACCCAGACCGCACTGAGTTTTTCCGTTATACCACAGCTTCCCCTGTCCGAACACCATCCACGGACCACACCCTTGAAATCCCTCAGTAAAAAGACAGCACCCAGCTCTTCTTAATACAGGAAGCCAACTCTTTATTTTAACACAAAAAACAGAATATATACAGAGGGCGGGGAAAGACAACCAGGGACAAGAAACACCTCATCAGCCCACCCTATCAGTGGAAAGGGCTACAGTATAGGCAGGAAACACCTCATCACCCCTCCCCATCCAACCAAGACACAGAACAATGGGATGAAGCACATGGCAAAGGACATTGACCAACCCCCACACCAATGCACAAACAGTACATCCCATAATAGTTGGCTGGACAGGAAGACACAGCACAATGGGGGGTAGCACATGGCAAACAGACAATGGACAGCCATGTGGCCGAGAACAAAGGAACACACATTATACACAAGACTCAGACATTCACATACACACCCTGTACCCCTTAAACAGGCACAGGGTGGGTAAACATAATGATTTGGGGAGATGATACAGAGGTCCCCCCACCCCCAAAAGTCACTCCCGTCACAATAATATAAAAAAAATTATATAAAAATGTAAAAAAAAAATTGAAAAAAAAAAATTGAAAATAAAACAATACATTTTGGTCAAGATTTATGAAGAAAAATTATTTATTTGCAAAATGTTATATGAAAAACACTTTTTTTTCAAAATTTTTGGACTTTTTCATTTATATAGCAAAAATAATAAAAATCCCAGTGGTGAATAAATACCACCAAACTAAAGTTTTATTTGTCTCAAAAAAATGCAAAAAGATTCATATGGGTACAGTGTTGCATGACCGCGCAATTGTCATTCAAAGTGTGACAGTGCTGAAAGCTGAAAATCGGCCTGGACAGGAAGGGGGAGAAAGACTTGAAGTGGTTAAAAAAACAAAAACAAAAAACGATCCACTTAAAAGAAAAAAAGTTTGGCTGAATTTTGTCTTGTAGAATTTTTCTGAATGAGGTGTAGGTAATGCATCAATTTTTTTTTTAAATATGTTTTGAGGTTCAAAGGTGCATTTATTGGTTCCTTCTGACAACTGATGATCCACGTCTTTCAGACACATTGCCGGCACTTGTCCGAACTCCTACAGAGCTGTCATTCACGCAGGATGGATAAGCACAATAATGGACATTGGCATGCATTGAATAAATTCAACTGCTTTTAGTTGACCACTGATGCCCATTCTTGACAGTTCTATTCATTCCACAGAGGAATAGGCCAATGCCTGCAAAACAGGGCTGTTTGAGAAAAAAAATGTGGCTTTGAAATATCACCTTGCTATATGATCATAATGTAACAAATATAATTGCTACATTATTATCCTGATATGTATCTTATTACATCATTTGTTTGCTTGTTACCATAAGTCCCCAGTCACGCCAGTGCGACTTGTCATGCAATTTGATTTTCAACCAAATTGCATGACAAGTGACAACCTATTGTCTGTGATGGAATATCGGAGTCGGAATCACATGAAAGTACTTCATGCACTACTTTTTGCAAGTTCGGGTACGACTTGCATAGACATTTGTACATTAAGTCGCAGAGATGTCTTCCAAGTCACACCTGAAGTTGGACTGACATCCGACTTTGAAATCGTGCGAGTTCAAATGAATATATATTTCAATTTCATAGAATTTGAAATATATAAAAAATGCATTTCAACATGCAGTATATATACATTGTATATATTGTAACAAAAACGCATTTCAACATGCAGTATATATGTATTGTATATATTGTAACAAAAACGCATTTCAACATGCAGTATATATATTGTATATATTGTAACAAAAACGCATTTCAACATGCAGTATATATATATATATATATATATAATATGGCAAAATTGTAGCATTTCAAATATATGTTAAATATATTTTGGAAGAGTATTTAACAATATATTTCAAATATATTTCAAATATATTTTTCTTCCATGTGGACTGTTACAGGGTGACAACGTTCACTCAAGATCTACGGCGAAGAGTGTTGTCATCCTGACCACCCCTTTTCAACCAATAGAGTAGAATGGCAGGGAGTCCTGATCCTTGATTGGCTCCTTTGTTACAGGTAGTAGCTTGCGCCTACAACTAGGTATTTGGATCCGAAGGAGGGATAGAGCTGTATCAAAGAGGAAGGTGCTGGAATTTTTTGCTTGAAATAGATAAGTTTACTAAGCCCCCAATCACACTGGGTGCGACTTGGCATGCGATTTGCATGCCATACGACTTGCAAATCGCATGACAAATCGCACCCTGACTTGGTCGGAGTCGCACCGATTTCCAAAGTAGTGCATGCACTACTTTTGGTGCAATTTGCATAGACATCTGTATCAGATGTCTTGCAAATCGCACCTGAAATCGGCATGTCATCCTACTCTGAAATCGTGCAACTTCACTGTAGAGTTAGATGTGTAAGAAAAGAAAAATCTAGCAGCCCTCCTTTTTCGCAACAGAAAACTGCTCCCTCTAGATGGGTTAGAGTGTTTACTTATGTTTATGTAAAAATGCATTTATTTATTACGGGTACTTATACAGCACCATCAATTTACACAGCACTTTACATATATATTGTACATCCACATCAGTCCCTAACCCTCAAGGGGTGTACAATCTAAGGTCCCTAACTTACATTCATACATATATTAGGGCCAATTTAGACAGGATCCAATTAACCTACCAGCATGTCTTTGGAGTGTGGGAGGAAACCGGAGTACCCGGAGGAAAGCCACGCAGGCACAGGGAGAACATGTAAACTCCAGGCAGGTGGTGCCATGGCTGGGATTTGAACTAATGACCCTAGTGCTGCCAGGCAGAAGTGCTAACCATTTAGCCACTGTGCTAAATGGTGTTGCCAACTTTAACTGACAATTGTGTAGTCATGCATTGCTGCATCCAAATGAAATGTATTTTTTCCCCACAAATTGAGCTTTCTTTTGGTGGTATTTGATCGCCTGTGCATTTTTATTTTTTGCGCTATAAAAAAAAAGACAATTTTGAGGAAAAAAAAACAATATTTTCGACTTTTTGCTATTAAACATGTCCAGTAAAAAAATTTTAAAAATCAAATTTCGTCATAAATTTAGGCCAAAATGCATTCTACATGTCTTTGCTAAAAAAAAATCCCAATACGTGTAAATTAATTGGTTTACGTGAAAGTTATAGCATCTACAAATAGCGGTATAGATACTGGGATTTTTTTATTAATTTCTACTAGTAAGAGCAGCGATCAACGACTTATAACAGTGGGACTGTGGGACTGCGGTGGGCATTCTGACACTGGGGGGAACTGACTTGGTGTCACTTGCATCCCCAGTGACATCAATACAGTGATCAGTGCTAATAAAAAGCACTGACACTGTACTAATGGCACTGGCAGGAAGGAGTTAACATCTGGGGTGATCAAAGGGTTAACTGTGTGCTGTGTGTGTTTTACTATAGGGGCTGTGTCTGTGTGCTTCACTGTAAGCACACTGCTTTGCATGGCTGTGCTGTGCATAGCCATTCAAAGTAGTGTGCAGGAGCTGACAAGGGAGAGACTGTTTTTCTTACTAACAGTTCTCCCCTGTCGAAGATCCTCGGCAATCACCAGACGCCAGCAAGTAATTACTGGCCGGGACGTGGTGATTGACAGCCACGGCTGCGAATGGCGGCACAGGTAGGGCACACATGTGCCCCCTACCCGGAATGCAAAATCACGTATATATACGTGATTTTGCGCACCCCTACCACCCTGTAGCAGTATATCTGCTATAAGTCAGACGGGAAGCAATTAATTGAAAGTACTAATAAAAATATATGTTTAATTCTGTCAATTATCTATACTTTAATTCTTGAAAGTGGGTGCAGGGCAGGCTGGTAGGGGCCGCAGTGTATTACTTTGCCCAGGGGCTTATGATGCTGCCCTGGTAGTACCCTGAGAGCATTTCCATCATCACTTCATCAGCATGCATCCAAACTGCTGAATGACAGTCTCTCTGTATGAAAAAAACTCAAACACATGTTGGGGGCAGGGAGGTGACCAAGGCGTATTGCCTAACTGCAGTAGAGAAAATTGAGGTCACCGATGCTGTCTGTCTTGGGTTCCTGGAACATGAGACGGCACAAAATTACAATTGGCAGCTGAAAGAGCTCATGCATACCATATATATTACATATGTGCAGCTTGCTGTTTGCCTTGAGTTTCTCTTCGGGGCTGATTTACATCTATGTGACACACATTACATATGTTCATGCATTGCTGTTCATTCTGAATAACACATGGATGGCCAGGGGTAAAAACAGGTGGTTGATCCATGTTCATACCAGCCTCTGACCGCCCACCTATAAGTGGACATAGTGCCGCTCAGATGGGTACACATTGTTGCGGCATTGTGGTGCAGCAATTTTAATGACAGATGCCAAGCTTAACAGGCACCACCAGGGGCGGACTGACCATTTGGAAACTCGGGCACTGCCCGAGGGCCCGGGGTTAGTAGGGGGCCCCATGAGATGCCCCTGGTACCTTTTTCATAGGCTTTTTTGAGTTTGGGCAAGGACACAGGGGCCCCATGATCCCCTATTGCCCGGGGGGCCCCATGAGTTGTCAGTCCGCCCCTGGGCACCACCACTTGCCAAACTCTCCCACATAAGGCAGCAACATTGCCTTCTAAATTATTATTATACAGGATTTATATAGCGCCAACAGTTTGCTCAGCACTTAACCATATAAAGGGAGACAGTACAATTACAATACGTTTCAGTACAGAAGGAATAGAAAGGCCCGGCTCATGGAGCTTACAATCTAAAGGAAGGGGGAGGTGATACAAAAGGTGATAGCTGTAGGCAATGGTCTGCTGGAGGTGGCTCAAGTACAGTTCTTAGGTGGAGGTGGGGTAGGCTTCCCTGAATAAGTGAAATTTCAAAGATCGCCTAAAGGCAGACAGGGTGGGGGCTGACCGGACATACTGTGGTATAGAGTTCCAGGGAATGGGAGAGGCTCTGGAGAAGTCCTGGAGGCGAGCGTGGGAGGAGGTGACGAGGGAGCTAGAGAGCAAGATGTCTTCGGATGAGCGGAGCGGGCGATTTAGATGATATATGCGGATGAGGTCGGTGATGTAGCTAGGGGCGGTGTTGTGGATGGCGTTGTATGCTGTGGTTAGTATTTTGAATTTTATACATTGGGTTAGTGGAAGCCAGTGAAGGGATTGGCAGAGAGGGGCAGCAGTCGCTGATTGGTTGGTAAGGTGTATGAGTCCACCTGAGACATTTCCTTGCTACTAAATATTCCACAATCAGCTGTTAGTGGTATTATAACAAAGTGGAAGCAACTGGGAACAACAGCAACTCAGCCATGAAGTGATAGGCCACGTAAAATGACAGAGTGGGGTCAGCGCATGCTGAAGAGCACAGTACGCAGAAGTTGCCAACTGTCTGCAGAGTCAATAGCTAAAGACCCCCAAACTTCATGTGGTCTTCAGATTAGCACAACAGTGCATGGAGAGCTTCATGGAATGAAAAACAAGGGCTCTAACATATGAGCCCGAAAGCATGGGCATGTGGACGCCATCCAATAATTTAATAAGAAAAAAAAACATTCTCCTCAGGAATAAGTAGGAATTAGTTTAGGGCCCCATTTAAGAAATCTGACAGGGAAAAAAAGCGGGAAGAGAATAACCACGTGACCTTGGAAAAAGCGGGAAAAATCATGTAACCTGGAACATTCTGGAATTTTTTGGGAGCACATTATATAAAGAGACAGAACTCTCACAGTTGGTCAGAGTTGACAACGGGCTCCCCACCCTCCGTCCCTTGTCGCAAGGCATTGTTTATGTGGTTTGTGTCACCTTATCTATAGAAAAGGGGGACTTATTGATAGAATTATTTCAGTTAGCTCGAGTCCTAAAAGACTGAGCAAGTTTATTCATGGTTGATAATAAAGTGTAAGAGTTTTAAATTTTTATTGCAAATTTAATTTAATGTGTAATTACCAATAAAAGTGCCGCAGCCAAAATATTATACAAAAAGAAGAAATATTGTGTGTGTGTGCAGTATTTAAATTTAAATAAGTGTAGGGATGAGGGATAACGTGCGGCCTGCATTCCCATGGGTTTGCATGACTGAGCAGCCGCATCCAAGCCTTACATCACCAAGTGCAATGCAAAGTGTCGGATGCCATGTTGTAAAGCACGCCGCCACTGGACTCTAGAACAGTGGAGACATGTTTTCTGGAGTTTCCAATCACGCTTCTCTGTCTGGCAATCCGACGGACATGTCTGGGTTTGGCGGTCACCAGGAGAACGGTAGTTGCCTGACTGCATTGTGCCAAGTGTAAAGTTTGGTGGAGGGGGGATTATGGTGTGGGGGTTGTTTTTCAGGGGTTGGGCTTGGCCCCTTAGTACCAGTGAAGGGAACACTTAAAGCGGAGGTCCACTCACTCTGTAAAATAATAAAAGTCAGCAGCTACAAAAACTGTAGCTGCTGACTTTTAAAAAACACCCACTCACCTGTCCCACGATCCCACGGTGCCCCCGCCGCAGCCCGTTTCACCAGCTGTCTTGTGTTCCAGGCGCCGGCATCAGTGTGGGCACCTGGCTGTGACAGCTGGCGGCTTCACAGCAGGTGCCCATTGCGCATGAGCGAGTAGCGCTGCTCTTCCTGAATGGCCCTGTTGTCTTCTGGGACCTGTCACATGTCCCACAAGACTACGCGGAGGGAGGGTAGGAGGACAACTTCTGCTTCCGATCGCCTAGGTGATGGCAGCGGAAGTGGGAGCGGGTACCTGTCAATTTCGGGTACCCGCTCCCCCCCACCCCCCAAAGGTGCCAATCCTTAATGGGGTGCAGAGGGACCAATCATTAAAACGGAACTTCCCCTTTTGGGTGGAACTCCGCTTTAAGGCATCAGCATACCAAGACATTTTGGACAATTTCATGACCCCAACTTTGTGGGAAGAGTTTGGGGATGGCCCCTTCCTCTTCCAACATGACTGCGCACCAGTGCACAAAACAAGGTCCATAAAGACATGGATGAGCGAGTTTGGGATGGAGGAACTGGACTGGCCACAGAGTCCTGACCTCAACCCCATAGAACACCTTCGGAATTAGATGAATTTCTCGAGTGGAGACTGCGAGCCAGTCCTTCTCGTCTGACATCAGTGCCTGACCTCACAAATGTGCTTTTGGAAAAGAATAGTCAAACCTTCCCATAGACACTTCATGCCTCCTAAACCTTGTGGACGGCCTTCCCAGAAGAGTTTTTTTTTTTATTGAAGCTGTTTTTTATAGCTGCAAAGAGGCGGGGCCAACTCAATATTGAAAACCCTACGGACTAAGACTGGGATGCCATTAAAGTTTCATGTGCGTGTAAAGGCAGGCCGAACAATACTTTTGGCAATATAGTGTATATGCAACCCTGTGAAAAAAAAACACAGTCAGAACTTAGACCTGTTTCTCAAATGGATACAATGGACTTCATGCCAAATTGCCTCTGGGTTTAGTGCTCATTAAATTAATAAAATAATCATAAAATAATATAAAACAAATATAAAAAATTGGTAATTCAATATTAAATAAACCAAAAACACTGATAAGTTTAATTCAACTGCATTTAAATAAAATATTTGTAACCATGTGCCAGAGGGTACATGGCAACCCACAGGGTCATATGTCTAGGAGTCTTTATCAGGGAATTTAACCACTTGCCCTCCAGAGGATTCCCCCCCCCCCCCTTCCTGACCAGGCCATTTTTTCTGTTACGGCGCTGCGTTACTTTAACTGAGAATTGCGCGGTCATACAACGCTGCACCCAAATGAAATTTACGTCCTTTTTTTCCACAAATTGAGCATTCTTTTGGTGGTATTTGATCACCTGTGCCTTTTTTATTTTTTGTGCTATAAAAAATAAGTCAGACAATTTTGAGAAAAAAAACTATATTTTGGACTTTTTTCTATTAAACATGTCCAGTAAAAAAATTTTAAAAATCAAATTTCATCATAAATTTAAGCCAAAAATGTATCTTGTGACATGTCTTTGCTAATAAAAATCCCAATACGTGTAAATTAATTGGTTTACGTGAAAGTTATAGCGTTTACAAATGGCGGGCATATATACTGGGATTTTTTTCATTTTTACTAGTAAGGGCGGCGGTGACTTGTAGCGGGACTACGGCAGGCATTCTGACATTGGGGGGAACTGACTTGGTGTCACTGGCATCCCCAGTGACACCAATACAGTGATCAGTGCTAAAAAAAAAGCACTGACACTGTACTAATGGCACTGGGCAGGAAGGTGTTAACATGTGGGGCAATCAAAGGGTTAACTGTGTGCTGTTTTACTGTGCCTTTGTCCATGTGCTTCACTGTAAGCACACTGCTTTGCTTGGCTCTGCTGTGCACAGTTATCCAAAGCAGTGTGCACCAGCTGACAGGGAGGAGAACTGTTTTGTTTACAAACAGTTCTCCCCATTGGAGATCCTCAGCAATCACTGGGACCCAGTGATTGACAGCCATGGCCGCGAATGGCGGCGCGGGTAGGGCCGCAAAATCACATATATATATATATATACGTGATTTTGTGCACCCGTGTGTCGCCCTGTAGCAGTATTTCTGCTATAGGGCGGTCAGGAAGCAGTTAATGAACACCTGTCCTAGATGCAAGTTTTGAATAGACTGTGCTGTTCAATTGAGAAACTGCGTTCACATGTCGTAATTACTTTTACCTGCAAGTGTCCTCTGTGGATGCAGTTCAGCAAATCTCCCCCGGAAATCAAGAAATTGCTCTTGTTCTTTGTTTTTGCCACGTTTTTACCGGGTTTTGTATTTTTTGTTTTTTTCTGCTCAGCAACCCAAAAAATTTCCACTATAACAAAAAAAAGCGGAAAAAAAAAAACGCTGTAAAATGCAAAACGCTGTAAAATGGCACATGTGAAAAGGCAAAACACAATGCAAAAAGCAATTATAAAACTGATTAAAAGCAAACTGCATAGGTGTGAGCCAAACCTTAGACATTAAAGTGATAATAGGGCCCTTCTGCCTGGCAGTACTAGGGTCATTGGTTTGAATCCCAACCACGGCACCACCTGTCTGGAGTTTGCATGTTCTCCCTGTGCCGGGGTGGGTTTCCTCCGGGTACTCCGGTTTCTTCCCACACTCCAAACACATGCTGGTAGGTTAATTGGCTCCTGTCTAAATTGGCCCTGGTATGTGTATGTATGAATGTGAGTTAGGGACCTTAGATTGTATGCCCCTTGAGGGTTAGGGACTGATGTGACTGTACAATATATATATGTAAAGTGCTGTGTAAATTGCTCTGTATAAGTATCTGTAATAAATAAATAATGAACCTAAACATGTTTTTTACCTTAATGCAAGCAATGCATTGTGAGGGGGGAAGAGAGGGGAGATGAGATCAGCACTGTGCATGGCTGCATCTCTTCTCCCCTCGCTTCCTCTTCACACAGGGACTTGAACAGCAACAGGAGTCATTGGCTCCTGCTGCTGTCAATCAAGTGCAGTGAAGAGGGTGTGATGGGCAGGGCTAAGTCCCGCTGTGTGCCTATCCAGCATGGCTCCATAGACACACAGTGTTTTGTTCCCACACAAAGAAGAGGAGGAACCAGGATCGCTCCTCCACAGCGTTTGTCCCCATAGCCAACAGCTTGCTATGGGGACACACAAAAGAAGAGGAGGAGCCAGGATCTACGGCAGGGGACCCAAGAAGAGGAGGATTGGGGCCATCCTGGGCAATACCACTGCAGAGCGCAGGTGAGTATAACATGTCCAGGGGTGGACTGACCATTTGGAAACTCGGGCACCGCCTGAGGTCCGGGGGTCAGTAGGGGGCCCCATGAGATGCCCCTGGTACATTTTTCATAGGTTTTTTTGAGTTTGGGCAAGGACACAGGGGCCCCATGATCCCCTATTGCCCGGGGGCCCCATGAGTTGTCAGTCCGCCCCTGGGTCTGTCCCACTGTGTGTGTGTGTGTGTGTGTGTATGGACCATGACTTCATTGTCCCCATAGCAAATGGCTTGTCCCCATAGCAAATGGCTTGCTATGGGGACACACAAAGAAGAAAAGGATCCAAGATCACTAGCGGGGGGGGGGACCTGAGAAGAGGAGAATTGGGGCCACTCTGGGCAATACCACTACAGAGAGCAGGTGAATATACCATGTTTGTTATTTTAATTAAAAAACATTTTTGCCTTTAGTAACACTTTAAATATGAACAAAACATCTTTCTATAGTTTGTGATACTCTCAATCCAGAGCACTAAGTGTCATCTCTGTCTGCTTCCTCATTCCTTTGCTATCTGCATGAGTCACTGATGAGTTTTCCTGACACCAAGAGAAAAAAATGATGACAGGGGAGGAACCTCCAGCTGATTGACAGCCCCAGCTCTGTTCCTGTGTGCTGTGTGAAAGGGGTGTGTCTCTTCCTCCAATCAGCTCTCAGAGCTCTCCTCACTGAGTGTAACTTCACCTTCCCACCCCCTGCTTTTCAGAGCTGAGAGATCCTGTGTAAATGCTGCACTTTGATTGGATGTAGGGGAAAGAGAACTATAGATAAACAGGTACAATGTATGCAGGAGGATTTGTTTTCATCTTTGTGTATCGCCTGGGGCCAATCACTTCACTGGGTATATGGAAGGGTTTACAACCACTTTGCATTTCAAGACAAGCAGATGATCGGAGATTAAATCATATCAAACATATTTTGTTCTGAATGATCGTTCACTAAAACAAAAGATTGATTTAGTCAAATTTGACAGGATGGTCGATCGATCCTTTTCAATAAAAATTTTTGGTTTTTTTTTGCCTTTAGAGCAATTAATTCCGAAGATACAGTCTTTTCATTAAGGCAATCTTTATATTGAATGGCTGTACAATTATGAGTACAGCCGTCATTAGGCAGCCCTCCTCAGCCAGCTTGTTGATTAGACAATTGATGAGATTCTCAGTCCCCTCCCGCAAGTACGTTCACAGTGTGAGACTTACAGCACTGTGCACAGCAGTGGGGCATTGACTGGCGCAGAGTGCTTTCCCTGTACAAGGGATTACAGAAAGTTAATATAAAGTATTCATGATAGAGGTCTGTTTGTGGTAATTATAATCTCTTATTCCATTTTAAAAAAAACAACATTTTTTTGTATAGTTTATATTTCCATTTGCACATAGGAGCAGCCATAGCAGGGGCGGACTGACAACTCATGGGGCCCCCAGGCAATAGGGGATCATGGGGCCCCTGTGTCCTCGCCCACACTCAAATCACACCCAGAAAAGCCTATGAAAGGTACCAGGGACATCTCATGGGGCCCCCTACTGAACCCGGGCCCTCGGGCAGTGCCCGAGTTCCCCAATGGTCAGTCCGCCCGTGAGCCATAGTTTCCTATTACATGTGCAGGATCTGCTTCCAGTGCTACACAATGGTTGTTCTCAGGGGCATTATTACTACAAGGCAAACAAGGCATTTGCCTAGGGTGGCATTTTTTAGGGCGGCAGCACTGCTCCCCTGAAGAAGGGACATATGCTACATGGGGACCAGGTGAGATCTGAGAGAGGCTGCGGGCAGGGGCGGACTGACCATTCGAGCACTCGGGCACTGGGGTGAGTGGGAGGGCCCCATGAAATGCCCCTAGTACCTTTTATAGGCTTTTTTGGGTGAGATTTATTTGAGTGTGGTAGAGGACACAGGGGCCCCATGATCCCCTATTGCCCAGGGGGCCCCATGAGTTGTCAGTCCTCCCCTGGCTGTGGGCTGCTTGATTGTGTATGCAGAGCCCGACTGTCATTCCTGGGGATGGCCAGAGTTGCTGGGGGGGGGGGGGGTTAGTGGAAGGCTTTCTCAAGTGGGGGGGTGGGGCAGGGGTGTCCCTGTCAGGCTCTCTCCACCAGAGAGAGGTGGGGGCATCCAATTTTTGTGTTGCCTAAGGCAGCAAAAAACCTAAATACACCACTGGTTGATCTCAAGGCTAGGTTCACACCGATGCATGTTGCGTTTGAGCCATTTCTGCATTTTGCATTTTTGCACCTGCATTTTTGATGCGTTTTTTGTTCTCTTTTTTTTTTTTCTTGTTGCTAGGCAGATTTAAAATGCAAAATGGATCAAATTGAGCTGTTTCTGCATTGAGTTTTTGCTGTTTTTTTTATGTGTTTTGCATTTCTTTTCTTTTTTTTATTTTTCTTGTTGCTAGGCAGATTTAGAATGCAAAACACATAAAAAAGCAGCAAAAACGCAATACATGCTTTTCTGAAGCATTTCCATTGAAGTCTATAGAACCAAAAACGCAACTTTTTGCATTCAAAAAAGTCCCTGATCCTTTTCAAAAAACGCACCGGGTGAAAACGCGCAGATGTGAACATGTCCCATAGGAAATCATGTTAAATGAACTGTACTGCATTTCGGAAAAATGCTGCAGAAAATGCTTCGGTGTGAACCTAGGGTTACTGTCTGCACTCATAATGCAAGTTTTAGAAGTCACCCGACTCATTGAAAACAATGCACTCCTTCTGCGGCTAATATCTTAACACAATAGCTCCATCTGCACAGTTGCAAAATCAAGGTCCAGGATCACTCGAAATGACTATAGGTTCCATCGGCCATCTCAGCAGAGGGACTAATGGCAGCGTGTGCCAGGGATCCCTCCTCCCTCTTCAAGCCATAGTTCAGCCACACTTCTCCCAACCCCCTAAACAGCAGGTCTGTAATGCCGTATGGACCCGAAGCTGGGGGAATACATTGCAGGAGCCTGTGCATTACATCAGGATGCACTGATTGTGGTTGCAATGCTCTGCAGGCTTCATTGAAAAAAAGTAGTCAATGCAAGGGGCGGACTGACAACTCATGGGGCCCCGGGCAATAAGGGATCGTGGGGCGCCTGTGTCCTTGCCAAACTCAAAAAAGCCTACGAAAAAGATACCAGGGGCATCTCATTGGGCCCCCTACTGACCCCGGGTCCTCAATAGGGGATCATGGGGCCCTTGTGTCCTTGCCCAAACTCAAAAAAGCCTATTAAAAAGGTACTAGGGGCATCTCATGGGGCCCCCTACTGACCCCGGCCCTCGGGCAGTGCCCGAGTCTCCAAATGGTCAGTCCGCCCCTGGTTAATGCACATTGATGATGAGATCAATATGGCTACAGTGCCTTGAAAAAGTATTCATACCCCTTGAAAATTTTCCACATTTTGTCATGTTACAACCAAAAATGTAATTTATTGGGATTTAATGTGATAGACCAGCACAAAGTGTGAAGTGGAAGGAAAATGATAAATGGTTTTCAACATTTTTTAAAATAAATATCTGAAAAGCATGGAATGCATTTGTATTCAGCCCCCTTTACTCTGATACCCCTAACTAAAAATCTAGTGGAACCAATTGCCTTCAGAAGTCACCTAATTAGTAAATAGAGTCCACCTGTGTGTAATTTAATCTCAGTATACATACAGCTGTTCTGTGAAGCCCTCAGAGGTTTGTTAGAGAACCTTAGCAAACAAACAACATCATGAAGGCCAAGGAACACACCAGACAGGTCAGGGATAAAGTTGTGGAGAGGTTTAAAGCAGGGTTAGGGTATAAAAAAAAAATTCCGAAAGCTTTGCACATCTCATGGAGCACTGTTCAATCTACCATCTGAAAATGGAAGACCATGGCACAACTGCAAACCTACCAAGACATGACCATCCACCTAAACTGACAGGCCGAGCAAGGAGAGCATTAACCACTTGCCCCCCAGAGGATTTACCCCCCTTCCTGACCGGGGCATTTTTTTTGCGATACAGTGCTGCGTTACTTTAACTGACAATTGCGTGGTCATGCAACGCTGCACCTAAATGAAATTTATGCCCTTTTTTCCCCATAAATAGAGCTTTCTTTTGGTGGTATTTGATCGCCTCTGCGTTTTTTATTTTTTGTTCTATAAACAAAAAAAAAAACAATTTTGAAAAAAAACCCAATTTTTTTGACTTTTTGCTCTAAAACATATCTAATAAAAAAAATTTAAAAAAATCAAATTTCATCATAAATTTTGGCCAAATGTATTCTGCGACATTTCTTTGCTAAATAAAAAATCCAATATGTGTAAATTAATTGGTTTACGTGAAATTCATAGCGTCTACAAATGGTGGTAAATATACTAAAAAAAAATTTCTATACTAGTAATGGTGGTGATCAGTGACTTATAGCGGGACTGCGGAGGGCATTCTGAGACTGGGGGGGGGGGGGGAACTAACTGGCACTGACATCCCAATGACACTAATACAGTGATCAGTGCAAACAAAAAGCATTGACACTGTACTAATGGCACTGTGCAGGAAGGGGTTAACATCTGGGCGATGAAAGGGATAACTGTATGCTGGGTGTGTTTTACTATGTAAACATGTTGCTTTGCATACAAAGCAGCATGCTGGTGCTGACAGGGGAGAGATCTGTATTGTTTACATACAGACCTCTCCCCTGTCAGTGTTCCTCGGCCATCACCAGATGCCAGTGGGGAATCTCTACTAAATCCTTTTGTGATACACATAAATCCCCAAAAAAAAACTCCAACCATTAATATACTCAATGTAAATTCAACTAAATAGTGTTTACATAATGTTTACATAAATCCACACTCAATTCCTCAATTCTGTCTTAAAAAAGTAAAATAGACCCAAAGAAATATCAAAATTATATATATAAATTATATATAAAAATTATATATAAAAATTATGTTCAATAAACCCAAAGTGTCCAAGTTCCAAAAAAAAAAAAAAAAATTTTTTTTTTTTCTTTCAATCCAGTAAAGCAGAAATTGGTTCTAAGACTCCATGATCACCTCAAAGAAAAAATAGAAAAAAGAAAATTCATAGTGTATTACCCTTTAAAATATATATATATACACTTCACTCTGTGCACAATACAAAAACACACCCAAACTT